ACAGCTTTTACAGTCTGGGAGCTGCTAAGGGAGGGTAAGAACATCCTCCTTTCCAATATCAGCATTCTTGTCATAGTTGCTGTTACGCTAAGAACTTTCTAAATCTTTCTCTTTCTCCTTTTATTTACCTTTGCTTCTTGTGTATCTTTACAAGGCTTTATTTTGCCTGACATCATCCCCCTGTTGCCCTAACATCAACTTTCTCCCCCAGGATTTCGTTTCACTTCACTCCCTCAACTGGCCACGTCATAAAATGGATGAAATTTAATGCAGCTCTTTATATTATGCTTCTGTATTTAATTTAAATATTAGAGCATTTTATATGACTGACTTTTAAAAAATACATCAAGTTAAATTGTTTTCTACTTCCACATGATTGACTTGATTTTTCCTGGGGGTCAGTTTTTCCTAATGAAAATAAAAGCCACCTGCCATGTTTGAAAGCTGCACTGTCCAGTCTGGAAGACCCTAGCTACAATAGGCTATTTAAATTTTAATTTACCAAAATTAACTAAAAGTTAAAAATCAGTTCATCAGTTACACCAGACATATTTCAAGTGCTCAATAGCCACAGGCTAATGGTTACCATATCAAACAGCACAGATACGGAACATTTCCATCATCACAGAAAGTTCTATTGGACAGTGCTGTTTCAAAGAGCAGAATAAAGTGAAGAACAAGAAACACCTATTTTAATTGTTAGGTTTGACCACAACACAGCAACCCACAGTAACAAAGTGATGGCATCCAACTCAAAAGCTGCTGGTTTATACTGAGGATTGAGCAGTTGCCATCTTCCATTTCTTTCCCATTGAAGTCAAATTTAATTATAAGATAAAAAATTTAAAAAACCCACACATACATACTGGCAATTCTCTGGGCAATGAAAGCACAACAGGTGTTTCTTTGTAGGTTGCTAAACTAAGGAGCACATTCTAGATATAATAAATTGAATTCAACTTTATCATCACTTAAATCAGACCTCAGATAGTATCGAACACAATTTATCATTTCACCAAATGTTTTCCAATCTGACTTATCTGGACTGTAAAGGTTTAATGAGAAAGTTCTGATTTGTATTAGAAGATCTAATATCAAAGCCAGAAGAAAACAGCTGTCCTGGAGCAAGACTGTAAACCTCAGGACAGAACTAGGATCTATCGCATATCCCACTATGTCTGCAGTGCCCGGCATAGTTCCTCATTCAAAGACGGTAATCAATAAGTGTTGGCTGAATGAATGAATAAGGGATACAAAAGGGCTATGACTTGCATAGCTCATTACTGAATATTCTGAAGTTAAAAAAAAGCAACTTATGTTCAAGATATACAGAAACTTTGAACTGACCATCAGGTTGCTCAGAAGCCACTCACTACACTCAGATATGCGAGTCCTCATTTCAAATTCCTTAATGTCAACTTTTACAAGAAATATTAAAAAGAAAATGCGAATTCTGAGGCATATGGAGAAAGGACAAAAAGTGAAAGAATAACGGACTCTTTTGGAGCAGTTTAAAAAAAACAAACTAATTCCCAAAACTTAGAAATCCTAAGTTTTTTATTTTTGAGGAAGATTAGCCCTGAGCTAACATCTGCTGCCAATCCTCCTCTTTTTGCTGAGGAAGACTGGCCCTGAGCTAACAACCTGCCCATCTTCCTCTACTTTATATGTGGGATGCCTGCCACAGCATGGTTTGACAAGCGCTGCCATGTCCGCACCCAGGATCTGAACCAGCGAACCCCAGGCCGCAGAAGCGGAATGTGCGAACTTAAGCGCTGCGCCACCAGGCTGGCCCCTAGAAGTCCTAATTTTTTTAGAACTATGGCCTTCAAAGGTTTTTGACCATGTATCTCATCAGTAAAACATTTTTAGGCATGTGTTGAAACATTTGTATATTCACTTATTTTTGAACTATATCCCACTGTCAGAAAGAATATGTTTTCCAAAATGATATGAGGATTTTCATTGACTATAAGCTGGCCAATAAGAATCCTCTAAATATTTATCATTAAATTTAGTCTGTCAAATATAAAATTGACTTTATCATTAAAAAGAAAAAAAGAAAAAATATGAAACTGTTGTCTTTATGTGCTGGAAAATAAGTTTAAATGTCTTGCTAATTAGGATGACCCCATTGGCTAGTATTTCAAAGAAGAATATACACTTAGGGAAAGGTTTTATTGTTAATAGCAGTTATTAATGAGGACTTCAAATAGTCTTCTTTAAAATTTGGCACTTTTTTACTTCTTCCCAGACTCAAAGAGATGCACTGTTTTTCCCTCCTCCTTCACACAGAAGTGGCAGGGCAGCTTCTCATTGTCTACTCATGCTTGCATAATTAACACTGTCTTCAATCTGTAGCTTCTTTGAAGGAATCTTTTAAAGCCACATTTTGTTGAGGGTTTAGTTAAAACTGGATAATACAAATCTTAACCTGGCACTTCTAAGCTTCAGTCCAGCTAACACATTCAGTGACTGAAGGCACCTATTTTTGCAGACTGGAAAAATCAAGTTCTAATATTATTTTATATTTTTAAGTAAAAAATATAAATAAAAGGTATTTCTTCCTAAACTCTACTTATCCTCTTGCAAATCCTCTGTGGTGTACCATGTCACTCTGGAAAGCACTGTTTTCAGGAAGGCACAGCCCTGTGTTCAACATTACAACATTCACTAGTTACACTTAAGTTTACTCAGTATACAGAAGAGTCATGGGGAGCATATGATGGAGTCCCCTGCAGTAACTCTGTGCCTCCCCAACCCCAGGCTTCATGGCCCAGTCTTGCAACCACTGAACAAGTCTTACAGGAGAGAAACTTATTTGAAAAAACAAATATTATTCTTACAGCCAGGGAGCAAAAACAGAAACTAGGTAAACAAGGAGATAATGAAAGTGACATAGATATTTCAACTGGTGGAAAGGAAATCAAACTCTTACTTTGTAGTAGTACTTTGTTTCAGCGTGTTCTTCATTAACATCATGTCACAAGCATGGCAATCTGGCTAAATAGTCACTTTATTTACATAAAAATGCAGTCTGTTATGTATTATTCTGCTCTCTTTTGTTAAATAAGAGTAATGATACTGTATTTTTAATCAGCGGAAGGGAGAGGAGAGAAAACACTGACAACTTTGGCATAGAATATGTTTTCCAAGTGGGTAGTAAAGATTATGGCATGACTTATTTTTAAAACTAAATCATATGAGTATTCTCCAGTCTGGCTTTTTACGATCTTTGTAACATAAACATATTTATCTTTAATTATTTGAGATGTGTTTTTTCCAATCTTCTGAGATTCTCTAGCAAAATATTTTTAAAGCAAAGAAAATTTAAATCCAAAAACCTAACCTAGTCAAAACTAGACAGCTTAAAAAAACCATAAATAGCTTATTAAAGGAATATGGCAAACCTAACCCAGCCAATCTTCCACAAGAACAAAACTCAATGTTTCAAAGTGATTTAGAACATAGTTAAATATTTATAACTGGGTCTAAACATCTTGTCTTTCATGGAATAACACAGAAATGATGGATAAAAAGGTCAATCAGAGGTCTGCTTTGGAGAACACACCACAATTGTAACTTTGAATGTACTATATCTTTTTTCCAGTAACAATATAAATTTTAGATTATGAGTAGCAGCTAACAACCGACAAAACAGGTCTAGAAAAAGTTGATGGTCAGAAATAATGTAAATCTTGTGCAGCACATTTTGAGGTAGGAGTCACGAAAACTCAAGAAGTTGAATTTATGCCAGTTCTGTTTTTTATGAATATTACATCTCTAAGACCAGAAGAATACAAAATTACAGTCAGCAAACTACACTGTGGTTCAAATTTTTACAGCATGTTTACTCAAAATCGCAGAGAAGTTGGAAAACTATTTTTTATATGGTGGCACAATTACGATATTTAAAAATTTACGTTTCCAAAATATGAAGGAAACAAAGTATTCTGGCAAATAACATAGTGAGGCCAATCTCCCTTTACCTTAGACTCTAAGGCTTAGTTACTTCTAGATGTCATCTAGTCACACCATAAATGTCTGCCTTGAACAGTCAAATTTTCCAAACAAGCCGACCAACTTTGAAGGGTGGGGCAGGAGGCTGAGAAGGAACAGGATTCATTTTGGCTTGCTCCGGCGGTGGAAAAATGTTTAGTACCACACCCTCAACAAAGGCCTAACCAAGCAAGGAACAATGTCAAATCAACCCATTTTGGTCTACTGTCACAGTCTAAGGAACTAAAACAAGGCGAAATAATAAAGCAAGCACAGAAGTTTGGCGGCGACGGGGCTCCGGGCACCTAAAAGATGGGTTGGGGGGGACATCAAGAAAATGTCTCTAATTTTCAATCCTCTCTATTCGACTTAGGATGGGAGAATAGTTTATTTATCCACCGATAAAGAGTTTAATTCTTTTTACCTGGTCAACCTTACATGCCTTAGTGGTTACCACCACTTTCTGGAGCAGATCATTACTCAGCACGAAGGGGGAAACGAGCGCCTTCTCTAGCCAGGGGTGGGGGCAGCGGGGTCGTCGAGGAGGAGGCAGGAGAAGGCACGTCAGCGCCAAGGCTCAGGTGACAGCGGCCCCCACGCCCCCCCCGCCCTGGACGCGCACCTGGATGGGGGAATGAGTAAGCACAGGCTGACCTGCGCTCGCCCCGCCGGCAGCCGCGGACTCCCAGGGCGGGCTGGGGGAGGCCGCCGAGCCCCGCGCCCACCTCCCGGACGCCCCGCGCCCGGCGCGCGCCCGCCTCCCAGCCCCCAGCCCGCTGCCCAACTTCAGCCTCTGCCCCGCAGCCCGCCGCGCACTCCGCGGCGCTCGCCCCCAGCCGGCCCGCCGCGCCTCCTCCCGACCCCTTACCTTTCCGTTCTTGGGGCTGCCGTTAAGGAACAGGGTCACCCGCCTCATCGCGCTGCCCCCACTGGGTCCTGAGTGAGTCGCCACCCTCCCACCTGGCTCTCCTCCCACCTTTTTCCTCTCCCGCCCTTCCCCTCCCTCCACCCACTCGGGCTCTCCGCCCTTCGCCACCTTCTTTCTCCGGCCGACAGACACACGCACGCACTCTCCGTCCCACACCCCGGGGTTGGCCGGTCCTCCTTCCCACCCCGCCCCTGGGCCTCTCAGTCAGCCTGGAGCCCTTCCCCCACCTCTCCCAGACTGGCTCGAAGCTCCACCAATCAACCGGCAGCGCCGGCCAGCACACAGCCAATCATCGCCCTGCACTGGGTGGGTCACACTGAGCCAGCCCTGCTGGAGGGAGGGAAGAGAGACCGCAGGCCAGCGGACGGGAAGGGTTATCAGCCAATCAGAGCAGAACCTGGAGCCAAGCGGCGTCTCAAAGCGTTACTGAGCAGGCGCAAACCCAGCACCAGGTAGCGCTTATTTGCATACGGAGGCGGGGCTTGAGGGAAGGAGGTGGGGCGCTAGAAGCGACCCACCCTAGTCAGCGCCTCCCCGCCGTACTCTCAGAGGAAACGGCTGCCGTCAGGACTGGCTGATTGGGTAAGAGCCAGCCCGTCGTTCTGTCAGGATTGGTCCAATGATTCTTTTCGAAGTTTGCAGCATCCAATCGAAAGGCGGGGACAAACTGGTGGCTAACCGAAGGGTTCCTCCGCGAGACTCATGGAAAGTAGTCCCCGTGGACACAGGTCAGCAGCGGGTGTGTCTGGCCAAGTGCGTCACGTAGCTAGCGGTGGCTTCTCTCGGAGACCACAAAGCCACTCCTGTCCTGGGACGGCGAGGCAGAGGCCGGGGAGAGTTCGGAGCGGGCGCGGACACGTGCGGGTGGCGGCGGCGTAGAGATCTGCAGAGGGACGCCGAACGCCGAGGGGCGGGGCCGGCGATTTGAATCCGGCGGCGGGTGGCGGCCGGGCCGAGGGGTGGGTTCGGGAACCGCGGCTGCCGGGTCCCGGAGACAGCGCGGCGGGGCCGGGACGAGGCGGCCTGCCGGCGGCGAGCTTGGCGGCCAGCATCTGCCTTCTCGAGCGAACCTTCAGGCCCAGAGAGCCGAGGTCTGGAAGGCAAGACAGCCACGACGCTCCTCCGCGGTGCAGTGTTCGCGATACCCCAGGGGGGGCGGGCCGGGCTGGGAGCGGGGGGTGCGGCGGGCGGCCCGGCTCGCGCTCCGGACGCGGGAGCGCCGAGCTGTTTCTGCGGCGTGCTGCTCGGAAGCGTGCCCCGCTTGTCCGGCCGCACCGAGCGAGGGGTCCTGCGGCCTGAACCGATCGCCCGCGGGGTTTTTAAAATGCAGGTTCGAGGGTCAGCCAGATCTCCTGAATTAGAATTTCTGGGAATCCTAAAAGCTGCCTGCTTAACAGGTACCCAGATGGTTCAGGTGTTCGCTAAGGTTGAGAAGCCGTGGCTTATACACTAGGGAGTCTGCTCTGTTTCATCCTGAACAGCAGTTTCTTCCATTTCTCCCTGTTTAGTTTGAGCTCCAAAAGTACTCTCTTGATGTCCATTTTCGTGCCAGTATAGATTGCATTAGGAGTCGGCCTTGAGTGAGGATCTCGATCGAAGCACATTAATCTGAGGGGTGTGGTTATTTCTCATTTTTCTTACTCTTTTTTAGATGGATAACAATTCAAAGGACAGCGAACCCCCTGAAACCAAGGAGTCTGTTATTTATAACGCTGGTACGTAGTGATCTGTTGCCTCGTTGTGAAATTTTAGGTTTAGGTGTTTGTCTTGATAACGATGTTTAACCCCCACAACATGCTGTCTCTTTCAGAGAAGGCCTCTTTCACTTTGGGAAATGAGAAGTTTGTAACTCCTCAGAAGCGTGCAGCGGAAGTGACTCCTGATTGTTGCACACCAGATGCTTTTCAATCACCTTTGGACTTCTCCTCAGTAACTGTAGAGCAATTGGGAATCACACCTGAAAGCTTTGTAAAGAGCTCTTCCGGTAAGAGAAGTTGTCATTCTATTGCAGTGCTTTTGAAGTGTAAAAATAGCTCTAATATAACTCAATTTTGCTCATCTAGCCTGTCTGTCTTACTACCTTACCTTTCTAAATTGACTGACTCTGCAAACTTGTTTCCTCAGGGAGACTTCGTGCGCATGCACAGTTCATCTAGCATAGCAGGATACTAGGGTCCCAGGCCACCCAACATTACAATGCTCCTAAGTCAGAGTTGTGCTCCATGCCCAAACTGGAAAAGAATAGTGTGTGAATCACTTTTTGACCAGACATATGGGTTACAGGAGTGTGTATACTAAAAGGAAAAGCAGTCTGTTCTGTGGTTATGTATGACAAAAGTAAGAGAAAGTTGAAGGGCAATTCAGAAAAGATGACATTGAAAGACTGGGATATGCCCCTTTCAAAATTACAAACAGAAAATTCACTCAAAGACTAATCTTAAAGCAGTAGAAATGAAATTCACAGGAGCCTATAAAGTCTGATTTAGATGGAGAAGACGGAAATATGGGAATGGAATTAGATTAGAGAACAGCATTTAGAAATGGAGGGGTAATGTGGGACTTGAAAGTCAAAGGATGCAAGACTAGGAAATGTGGCACTGAGAGAGGACCGAAGTGGCTTGCCATTCTATGTTCTCTTCTCAAGAACATCGCTCTTAGACCTTTAAAAGGCTAGATTTATATTGTGTGCTTAGGTGTATGGCCAGAACTCAGCGTAGTGTGCTGAAGGTAGGTAGGTATCTAAAAGAAAAATTACCTTGAAGAATTGGGAACATGAGAGTACATGTATCTAGGTGGAGATCTTTCCTTTCAGTCTTGGGGATAAGACTCACTAATTCAGAAAAAGACAAATTCTTAGTCCAAAGCAAGCCATTACCCACCTCTGTGTGCAGGAAATATGAAACAAAAATGAGAGCCATTAATTAAGATGTGTTCATGCCTTTATTCCACAACTATTTGATAAATGCCTTCTATGTGCCAGGCACTGTTCCAGGAGCGTGGAATAAATCAATAGAAAAAACAAAGATCCCTATGCAACTTTTCAGGACAATTTTGCCTGTAATTCTGTATTTAGGTTTCTGTATCATCAGTTTATCATGCTTTCTCTCAGGCCGGTACATCTTGGGTATTCAGGATATGATTACTGACGATCGCCTTGTTTTATTCCAATTTAAAAGAAAGTTTTCATTATAGGAAAGTCACCAACCTACCTTAAAAAATCCAGACGACGCTCTACAGTTGGTGCCCGGGGCTCTCCTGAAACAAACCATCTTATTCGTTTCATTGCTCAGCAGCGGAATGTAAAGAATGCAGAGAAATCTCCTTTGACACAGAATTCCCTTTTTCAGGTATGATTTTCTTCTAAGACCTGTCATGAATTCTTCCAGGGAGAATGTTTTGCTCTGTTATGAAGCTTTTCTGTAGTGTTTCTACCTTCCAGTGCCCCTCATCTCTTTTGGATCTGGAGAGAATATTTTGTTTTACAGAAAGTATGCAGTTAGCATGAATGGTGATGTTGAGCATGGAGATATTAAGAGTTAGGAGATGTTGGATAGAAATGGCTTTCTAGAGGAGCTTTCCATTTTGTTTTGCAAGTTTTTTTCTAGTTAATGTCTGTTTTCCTATGATGACATGAGGCAGTGTTTTCCGACCTTTTTCTGTTAGTATCTTGTCTCTGAGCGTCTAATTTTTTTGTGACTACTGTGTGTTGGCATGTAGGGGCAAGAATTCCTCCAGGACAAAATGTATTTGGGATAACCTAGTGGAAGGGAGCAAATTATTTGTCAGCTGATGGGGAAGTATTTAGTATTTTTGCAGATTTTTGTCAGAATAATACAAGCTCCCAAAAATTCAAAAGTGGTACAAGGCCTACTATGGAAGACAGTCCCCAGCTTACCTTTCTTGAAGGACAGCTACTTCTGACTCTCGATATTGGCCTTCCTGTTTTACACTGTGTTTACAATGGCACTTCTTTATTTTTCCGTTTTAGACATTGTATGTGTGAGGCTGTATAGTGCAGTGCCGTGGTTCTCAAAGATTATCTGAGATCCCTAGGGATCCCTGAGTCCCATTCAAGAGGTATACGAGGGCAAAACATTATTTTCTGATAGCACTAAGACTTGATTTGCCTTTTTTCACTATGCCGATGTTTGCACTCATGGTGTAAAAGCAGTGGTGGGTAAAACTGGTGGTACCAAGCTGCCATTTTATTCATCACTGCTACTCATTCACAGGAAATAGCAATGCCGGTTTCACTTAGCATCCTTGAGGAAGCAATAAAGATTATAAATTAGTATTAATTCTCAACCTTTGAGTATGACGTAGGATGAAATGCAAATTATGCATCAAGGACTTCCAGAGTACGTCCAGAAGTGTGGTGGATGTTTTGAAAGAAATCCTGTGTGTGATTGTTCAAGCTGTAAGCTGATCTAGCCACTTTTTTTCATGGAACATCATTTTTACTTGAAAGAATGACTGCCAGATGTCGTGGTTAGTCAGACTTGGGAATGTGGGCAATATTTTCTCAAAAATGAACAGCAAACCTGCCCCTTTAAGGAAAAACGGAAATATTTCTGACCAATGAAAAAATCTGAGTTTTCAAAAAAACATTAGAATTTTGGAAAACTTGTATTTCCCACCACGAGCTTGACAACTTCTCAATAGCTAGACTTCTGATAGATCAGTGGGGATATTAATGAATGTGGTTTTTATATTGCATAATAAAATGTGTCAACATTTGGAACATCTGCATAAGTGAGTAAATCAATATTTTTCCATATGACCAGTGCATGCAAAATAGACTCTCAAATTGCCCGGTAGACCCATGGATTTTAACATAAGAGAATATGAAAAGTTCAGTGATGTGATTTCATATTTGACATTGCAACTAACCTTTAAGAAATCTTTGTTACGTTTTGTGTTGCAATAAAGAAGAATCTCCACAATTCTGAAAAGGCTATTAAAATACTCTTGATAGATATAACCAGCATGAACTGAGTCTTTGGTGTTCTTAATAATTTTTGAGAGTGTAAAGACTTCCTGAGAACTGCTGTTATAGTAGATATGAGCAGGAACTATGGAGCTATATTGCTGGGGGTTGATTCTTTGCTTTATTGTTCATTAATTGTGACTTTTGGCAAGTTACTTATTCTCTGTCTTTTTCTTCATGTATAAAATGGGGGTGATGATCATAACAAGGGTTTTATGGGGGTGAATACATTAATACCAGTACTTAAAACTGTTTTATCTGGAACATTTTATGCTTTAGATTTATTATTGTTATTTCTGTGAAAAACAGGAATTTTCTATCACATCTCCTGGCCACAGCTGTTCCAGCACTTTCCCTTTTCTCCATCCTTCCAATACAGTCAATTGTAAATTTTTTAAATTAGGGTTTAGTTTGTGTGATTTAATCATGTAGATGTTTTTCACAAACTCCTATGTGGAATGTTAGGGTCATATTTCCTTCTTGCACATTTGTTTTCCCTGTAGTTAGTAAATACTTCTTTTGGTGGGGTTTAGTCTTTTAATTTGTTATATAATCTCATCCCCAAACTTGACAAAACTGTAAACCTTAAGAGTCTATAGGTTCTTTTCTCTTTTTTTGGTGTCCTGTGTCTTCTTCCTCCTGTTGCCTTGGTTACCATTTAGATTTGCTGGACAGCTGTCACTTTGTGACTTCCTTCCACCATCCTTGGTCATTCCCTTTTCCTCTCCCATTTGGATTCCCTGTTTCCTTGACCTCATATCTTTCTCTTTTCTTGGCTTACTACCTCGTTTTTCTGGAGCTTCTGCATATTTGACAAAGTTTACTCTTCTAGCATGTTTGAATTATGGTTTGTCTTAGTATAGAAATCTAGGTCGGACGTATTTTCCGTCAAAATTTGGAAGGCATTGCTCCATTGTATATTAGCCTACAGAGTTGAAGAATTCAACACATATTTTGACTTCCTGTCCTTGGTGTGGCCTACTTTTTCATTCTGGAAGCTCTCTTCATGGTGTTATAAAATTTCAGATGAAGTTCCTTTCTTTCTGGATTGTTGAGGACATTATAGTTTTGTTGAAGTTTTCTTCCTCATCTGGCAGAATCTCTTTTCCTTCAGGTTCAGTTTTGCTACCTGATTATTTTAGGCTCTGTCTTGTGCTGGAATCTTTCTTCAGGTGGCTAGTGATCCTTGACTGTCTGTTCATTTTTAAAAGTGAGGCACTTTAAAAAACTGACTGGGAGCTCATTGTGCATGGTCTGGGTTTGTTGGCTGGTAGATTTCTATGTAGAACAATGGGACCACTTTTTTGTTGGAAGAACTCCCAAATGTCAGAATCCTATGGGTTTTTTCTCTTTGGCAGATCCGTTTTCTCTGAGAGGGATTCCTGGGGGTATAAACATTTGACTTCAAGTGTTCTATGGCTGAAAGTCTGACTTCATTGAGAAGGCTCAGACAAATTCTGTTTTCAGAACAGGGTCCCCTATCCTTAGCTGTTGATGGAGGCGTAAATCTCATGGCATCCTATATCTCTGTGTTCCCTCCAAAATGTAAAGGCCCCTTCTTATTTGTGGAGAGATCTGTGCTACTGATACAATTTCAATGTTGTTCTTGTTTTGAGTCCTGCCCTTGACCCTTGTTTGAGAAATACCTGATGCTTTGGATACCTGAGCCTTTTTTGGGAGTCTGCCCCACGTCTGCTTGTTTCTTGCTGTCAAACCTCCCTAAGGAGCCCTGTCAGTTTCAGCTTTCTCTGGCCCAAGTCCCTTTCTGTCCGTTGATATTCCATATATGCTGTTGATTTCTCTCTCGTTTTTCTTTCTTAAGAATATGCATATACACAGAAACACACCCCCATTCATATCATATGACTATACTAAAAGAAGTACTTGAATATATAGTTCTAGTATCTAGCATCGTTAAAAAGCGGGGGCTTTTAAACTGAGTGGTTTTGTGAACAGGGCAGTGCTGTCCTTTACCTTTGACATTTGCCTCTGCTGTAACTACCCCTGGTTGCTCTGCTCTTTCAGTTCTCACTTCATCTACTCTTTCTTCCTCAACAAATTCATTGAATGCATGAATAAAATAATTTTAAATAGTTACATGTTCCAATTTACTGAAATGTTCTGCAAATGCACTAGTAGAACATTTTAGTTTTTTGTAAAGTATAAGGGCCTATATGCTTTAATAATTCATCCCCTGTTTATTTTCTCCACCTTCCCTCATTTTAGAAAGAAAGCATTTTGGAGGAGAAGTTGAAGAGAAATGCCTCTCCATCTTTCCTCCACTGCTCTTATTTCATTCTTGAATAGCTCACCAACCACATGGATGATCCATGCAACATCCTGGCGGTCTCGGGTCCTTGACTTCTGTAGCTCCGGTGATCTCTCCTCTACCTGAGCAGTCACTGCTAGTGTATCCCGGTTGCACTCTTCACTTCCATCATCTCTCTCTTACCTACACGGCAGCCTTCTTTACGATTCTCTCATCTGGTTGAAACCTTCCAACTATCGACCTTAGCACATTTTCACTGTTTCCTCTCTTATCCCTTACCCAATCTAGATTCTGTGTTCCAACAGTATAAAATTTTCTTGCAAATACTTTTTTAAAAGTTTATATAAATTAAAATGTATATGTACATAAAGAATCAATTAGTACCATAGCATTTATATATAAAAACAATAGTGTATAGCTGCTTTATCCTCCCTTTCTCTTTTTCTAAGGCTTTCAGCTTTTCTAGCTGATGCTTGTGGTATTTGCTTCCACATCTCTTAGTTATATGTTTATTCTGCTGTTTCTTTTTTTTTGAAATTTTTTAAATTGAGGTATAATTGCCATATAACATTATATTAGTTTCATGTGTATAATGTAATGGATTTGTGTATATTCCAAGATGATTAGCAAAATGAGTTAGTATCTATTCATGCATAGTTAAAAAATTTTTTTTCTTGTTATGAGCACTTTTAAGATCTACTCTCTTAGCAACTTTCAAATATGCGATACAGTACGATTAACTATAGTCACCATGCTGTACATTGTATCCGCAGGACTTATTCATCTTATAACTGACAGTTTGTTCCTCTTAACCCCTTCATTCATTTTGCACCCCCACCACTGACAATCACCAATCTCTGTCTCTGTGAACTCGTTTTTTATTTGTTTTTTTGTTTGCTTTTCGATTACACATGTAAGTGAGATCATACAGTATTTGTCTTTCTTTGACTGACTTCTCTTGGCATAATGCCCTCAAGGTCCATCCGTTTGTCACAAATGGCAAGATTTCCTTCTTTTTTATGGCTGAAAAATACTCGTGTGTGTGTGGAGGGGGGGTAAGGAAAATGTGGTATATAGTCATTCATCCATCAATGGACAGTTGGGTTGTTTCCATTTCTTTCCATATCTTGGTTATTGTAAATAATGCTGCAATGAATGTAGGGGTACGTATTTCTTTTTGAGTTAATGTTTTTATTTCCTTCGGATAAATACCCTGAAATGGAATTGCTGGATCATATGGTATTTCTATTTTTAACTTTTGAGGAACCTCCATACTGGTTTCCATGGTGGCTGCACCAATTTATATTCCCACCAACAGTGCACAAGGATTCACTTTTCTCCACATCCTTACCCGCACTTGTTGTTTCTTGTCTTTTTTTTTTGTCTCTGCAGGGAAGGATTTGCCCTAAGCTAATATCTGTTGCCATTCTTCCTCCTTTTTCTTCCTTTTTCCCCCACAAAGCCCCAGTACATAGTTGGGTATAGTTGTAAGTTCTTCTGGTTCTTCTGTGTGAGCCACTGCCACAGCATGGCTGCTGACAGATGGGTGGTGTGGTTCTGCACCCGGGAACCAAACTGGGGCTGCCAAAGCAGAGCACACCAAACTTTAGCCACTATGCCATCAGGGCTGGCTCTTCTTGTCTTTTTGGGAATAGCCTTTCTAATAGGTGTGCAGTGAAATCTCATTGTGGTTTTGATTTTCATTTCCCTGATGATTAGTGATGTTAAGCACCTTTTCATGTGATTGCTGACTATCAGTATGTCTTGGGGAAAATGTCATTCAGATCTTCTGCCCATTTTTAAGTCAGATTTTTTTTTTTTGCTCTTGAGTTATATCAGTTCTTTGTATATTTTGGATATTAGCCCCTTACGAGGAATATGATTTGCAATTATTTTCTCCCATTCAATAGATTGCCTTTTCATTTTGTTGATGATTTCATTTGCTGTTGAGAAGCTTTTTAGTTTGATGTAGTCCCACTTGTTTATTTTTGCTTTTGTTGCCTTTGCTTTTGGTATCAAATCCAAAAAATCATCACCAAGACTGATGTCAAAGAGCCTACCGCCTATCTTTTCTTCTAGGAGTTTTATATTTTCAGGTCTAATGTTCAAGTCTTTAACCCATTTGGGGTTAATTTTTGTGTATGGTGTAAGATAGGGTCTAGTTTCATTCTTTTGTTCTGTGGTTGTCCAGTTTTCTCAACACCATTTATTGAAGAGATTGTCCTTTCCCCATTGTATATTCTTGGCTCCTTTGTCATAAATTAATTGACCATATATGCATGGGTTTACTTTTGGGTTCTCTATTCTGTTCCGTTAATCAGTGTGTCTGTTTTTATGCCAGTACCATACTCTGGATTACAATAGCTTTGTAACATAGTTTGAAATCAGGGAGTATGATGCCTCCAGCTTTGTTTTTCTTTCTCAAGATTTCTTTGGCTTTGGCTATTCAGGGTCTTTTGTAGTTCCATGCAAATTTTAGGATTGTTCGTTTTATTTCTGTGGTAAATTGCATTGGGATTTTGATAGGGATTGCATTGAATCTGTAGATTGTTCTGTGTAGTAGGGACATTTTAACAAGATTAATTCTTCCAATTCATGAACACGAAGTCTTTCCATTTATTTGTGTCTTCTTCAGTTTCTTTCATCAATTTCTTACACTTTGCAGTGTACAGGTCTTTCACATCCTTCATTAAATTTATTCCTAGGTATTTTATTCTTTTTGATGCAATCATAAATGGTATAAGAAAATCATAAATGGTTTTCTTAATTTGTCTTTCTGATAGTACAATATTAGTGTATACAAATGCAACAGATTTTTGTATGTTGATTTTGTCTCCTGCAGCTTTGTGAACTTATTTATTGGTTCTAACTGGTTTTTCGTGGAGCCTAAAGGTTTTTGTATCTTATATCATGTCATCTGTAAGTAGTAACAGTTTCACTTCTTCCTTTCCAATGTGGATCCCGTATATTTCTTTTTCTTGCCTGATTGCTCTGACTAGGACTTCCAGTACTGTGTTAAATAAGAGTGGCGGAAATGGGCATCCTTGTCTGGTTCCTGTTCTTAGAGGGTTGGCTTTCCGTTTTTCTCCATTGAGAATGATGTTAGCTGTGGGCTTGTCATATATGGCCTTTATTATGTGGAAGTACTTTCCTTCTATACTCAGTTTATTCAGAGTTTTTATCATAAATGGATACTGTATCTTGTCAAATGCTTTCTCTGCATCTATCGAGATGATCATGTGATTTTTATTGCTCAATTTGTCAATGTGGTGTATCACATTGATTGATTTGTGGATGTTGAACCATCCCTGCATCCCTGGAATAAATCCCACTTGATCATGGTGTATGATCCTTTTAACGTGTTTGTTGTATTCGATTTCCTGATATTCTGTTGAGGATTTTTGTGTCTGTGTTCATCAATGATATTGGCGTGTAATTTTCTTTTTTTGTTTTGTCCTTGTCTGATTTTGGTATCAGGGAAAAGTTGGCCTTGTAGAATGTGTTAGGAAGTGTTCCCTCCTCTTCAATTTTTGGAAGAGTTTGAGAAGGATAGGTATGAAATCTTTTTTGAATGTTTGGTAGACTGCTGGGGAAGCCATCTGGTCCTGGACTTTGGTTTTTTGGGAGGTTTTTGATTACCTTTTCAATCTCCTTACTAGTGATCAGTCTATTCAGATTCTCTATTTCCTCTTGATTCAGTTTTGGAAGGTGTATGATTCTCAGAATTCATCCATTTCTCCTAGGTTATCCAATTTGTTGGCATATGACTTTTTATAGCATTCTTTTTTAATCCTTTGTGTTTCTCTGGTATCCCTTGTAATTTCTCCTCTTTCATTTCTGATTTTATTTATTTGAGCCTTCTTTTTTTCTTGGTGAGTCTAGCTAAATGTTTGTCAACTTTGTTTATCTTTTCAAAGAACCAGCTCTTTATTTCATCAGTCTTTTCAGTCTTTATTTCATTTATTTACACTCTGATTTTGATTTCCTTCCCTCTACTGATTTTGGGCATCATTTGTTCTTCTTTTATGGTTCCTTTAAGTACACCGTTAGATTCTTTATCTGAAATTTTTCTTATTTCTTGAGACAGGCCTGTATTGCTATTAGCTTCCGTCTTAATACTACTTTTGCTGTATCTCATAGATTTTGGTATATATTGTACTTTCATTTTCATTGGTCTCCAGGTATTTGTTGATTTCTCTTTTAATTTCTTCATTAACCCAAAAAAAGCAGTACAGTTTTGAATTTTTTATTTACTTTGTTTATTCTCATTCTCCATCAGAAAATAAAGAAAAAACAGTTTTGACTAGGGAACCTTTCATTTGTTTTAAGCAGCATTTTGAAGTGCTCCCAATTCCTAGGACATTACACCTGCCCCTCCCATGATCAAATATGAGTACAAAAAAAGCACATTCAAGATAAATTGTATAACTTTGGGATAACCCCTTTCTTTCTTCGTATCTCATATAGATATGAGCTGCCCACCAACTTTTTATGAATGTTATGTGTGGTTTATGTCATAAAGGTTTACATCATCAACCATATTTGAATTTAAAATATTCTGTTATTATGTAACAGAGAGTTTGCTTTATGAAAGTATTTAAGTGGGAATGGAATCAAGTGTGTGAGGAGATTCACCATCAAGCATGTCTTCAAGATTTTAACTGAGTTTTCTCCGTACAGTATCTTTAAGGGAGGTAATTTTTTTACCTTACTTTTGCCTGTTGGTTTAATTTTTAAAATTGCTGCCAGCTCCAAAACAGTGGAAATATGTTAGTCTAAATAATAAAGGGGAAAAAAAGGAATATGTATCGAGAACATAATCAGTAATTTGTTTTATGGATTAACAGAACTTGTAAATTGTGTATTAGAGTCATCTCCACATAATGACATTTCGATCAATGACAGACTGCATATACAATGGTGGTCCCATAAGATTAGTACCATATGGTCTGGGTGTGTAGTAGACTATAGCGTCTAGGTTTGTGTAAGTGCACTCTACGCAGTGACGAAATTGCCTAATGACGCATTTCTGACTGTCCTTGACATGAAACAACGCGTGGCTATACTTGCATTTATTTTATCTGGCATGTCTATCCCTGATAGTATCACTTTCATCTGATGACTCTTTGGCTGAAGCCCTGTTATCCAGAGGGCTCCTGCGCTTAGACCATCTAACTGTTGGGCGTTGTAGTTTTAGTGAATGGCTGGCTTTCAGCTCCAAGGAAGTGAGGTCCCATGAAATCAGGAAAATTTAGCTGTGGAGAGCCAAAGGAGAGAGGGTAAATTTGAGGGCAGGTGTCTTGTTCTGGCCTTCTGGGGAGAGGGTGTGTATGGACGGACGTGAGTAGTGAGACTGTCGTGAGTTAGACTAGGTACGCTGAGACCACGTGGCACAGAGGTGTCAGGCAGCTGAGTTTCAGTGGATGTTTTAGCAGACCGTCGGTAAAACTTCCAAATAGGCAGGCTCCTCCTTGCCCTCTCTCCAGGATTCAGTGCGTTCTTGTATTCTCCGTATAGTCTTTTAGACTGGCCTCTCTCAAATATTTTTGTGGTAAACCTCTTTCCCTTTCAGATTTCATTCACTGAGGCTGTTTGAGGTTATGGACTCTAAGTTATAAAAGAGGGTCCTTAAGCGCCCACCCCTTCAAGAAATAATCCTTTTAAAGAGTTGTTTAGTCCCCAAATAATTGGGGTTACATTTTATTTGGGTGCTTTTTTAGAGCACTTTCCACCCACTTGAGCCTTCTCTTGTGTAGTCCGTGGACTTATTAGTATCTAGGCTACAGCTGCACATCTGAACATACCACACAGCGCTTCCTCTTTGCTCAGGTTAAAAACTGAGGGAGGAGCAGAGGAGAAACTCAGATGCTGGCAGCACACCTAATGTTCACACTGAAGGTGTGTCGTTCAAGGGAGAAGAGGCTCTGCTCTGCTAATTTATTACTTCTGATCTTCAGTAAGTGCATTTAGTTTTGGATTCGAGGGTTATAGGCCTAAAATATAGAAAGGATGTTTGATTTGATTTATAACATTATGATTTTGTATTTCTGTATGTCTCTGTATTTTAACAGGGAAGCCCTGTACTGTATCAAAATGTTAATTCTTTAAGAGAGCGAATATCTGCCTTCCAGTCGGCTTTTCACTCCATAAAGGAAGATGAGAAAATGACTGACTGTCCCGAATTCTCAGCGGCAGAAGGAGAGTTCGAGACACCAGGCTTGAGTGAGTAGAAAGATTTCAGTCAATTTGGGCTTCTGTGTTTATTCAGACAAACCTCTGAGGTATAAAGAAGATTTAGTTCCACAGTGTGAAAGTAGTCTTTTCTGAGCGGAGCTGTATTATTAAATGGGGCCTAAAATTTAAAATTTGGGACATTTCACACAAAAATCTAGATTTCTGGTTTCTCTTGACAAACCCTGATATGAGACAGTCGTGAGCCGACCTTTCCACATGGCCACAATTATGTTTTAAGTGTGAAAATGTCAGGGTTGATTAGCTCATTTCATCTTTAGAATAGGGCGTGTGGCAAATCTGAGTGTAGAAACCTTGACTTGAGAGGATTATTATTAAGTTTTGGCAAGCATTTGTGTGGATACCAAACACCCAGCTCGGATAGAACAAACAGATATATCTAATCTGACATCTTAATAGCCTGCTGTATTCTTTATCATAACTTTTAGATTGTAAATCATTTGGCTCTTTTATCTGTCACTTTTGATTTTCCAGTCACACATCATTTCCAACGCCAGAATTGGGCAAAGTCTTGGCCCGACTGTAATCATCACAAGCGTTCCTCTCGTGCTCTGCACCCTAGGTTCCAAATGCTGTCGTTTTGGTTTCTTGAACCACATTTCAGCACCTCCTTGCACACAGTGCACTGGTGCTCAAGACAAGTCTGGTTCATCAGCGTCCACAGGGCATGACCCACACCATGTACTGATTTGTGTTTATAGTTTGTAACTTAAACCTATTTTCCGGTTTTTACCTGAGTTATAGAATATTTTATTTACATGATTACTCTAGTTCTGCAGACGATTAAATTCCCTTTTTGTTGCCAGGAAGAGCTGAGGCACATTGTGGCTGTAATTTTCATAAAATACACGATCAGAGCAGAACCAGTATTAGAACATAACCAAATCCTTTAAAATGTTCCAAAGAAAAGGTTTCATTGTAAATTTAAAAATGGAATGAGATGCTGTATCAGAAATGCAAATGTATTTTAGCATATCTGTACATTTTGAAGTCTGAAAAAAATTCTAATTAAATTTTTATTATGTTTTAGTAGTTATGTTCTCTTGCCTTTCAGTTAGGTTTCCTTTTTTGAATTAAAAAAATGTACTAGACTTTTGTTTTCATTGATAGAGTATTTAAACTCAAGCATTAAATTTTACTAAAATTATTAAGACGTGTACAACATTTTAAAATGATACAGTGAAAAAAACTTATGCCTGTGTTATTTTGTTTTGCATATATAGCCAGAAAAGAAAGCCCTGATGAATGTCAGCAGTCTGAGTTCCCTGCAAAGTTATCCTCCAAGCGTCGGAGGACGTCTTCTCAGAGCAGCTCTGCTGGGAATCTGACTGGTACACTTGGTCTCCACGTGGTCAGTATTGCTCCGTCTTCCAGTGCAGGCAGAGCGTGTGCTTCTCTTGCAGATCTTTCTGAGGTAATTCACTGACTGGAAACATAGGAAGGTGAAACTTTGGTTTCCTGGGTAGGCAGTTTTAAGACTGTCAAGACCGTTTGCAATTAGAGTACTTGTCCTGCTATGTTGTAGCTGGATTTTAAATTGCATGTGTGTATTTCCTACTTGTTAAATTTTTTTATTGGTTGGCTTATTGGTTATTAGAGACAGTTTGATTAATATGTTGCTTTTGATTATGAAAAAGTAAGCCCTGTGGTCTTCTGCTTTGGAGGTATCATTCTAGATGCGGATGGTACAACAGTGAGAAAGTCACAGTTGTGCTCTTGAACAGCTTTTTGTCTGCTGGGAGAGGCAGACATATGAGCGTATCAGTTCCACGTAACTGGTAAACTAGGTGAGGATTATGTAAGGGCTATATTCCTCAGGGCTGAGGGTCTTGCTCTTCTGCCTTGTGCCCCTCGCTGGTCGAGTACTGACTGGGAGGCAGGGTGCTATTTATCAATTTCTTCTTTGCTCTCCTCTCTTCTTTCAAGTAGCTGAAGGGATATTTGTTGCTTATAACTAACTACCTAAAGCCTGTCAAGATTTGTCAAAGGGCGATGACCAACATGGATTAAATAATACAATTGAAGGTACTTGATCTTCACTCAGATGTGAGCAGGTAGCTGGTTCTCTCGTGACTGACTCTCGTCTCATGCCGTTGGCTCTGGTTTGATGGCGCAGGTTCCCATTTCTCTAGTGAGAGGAGACAGAGTCGAATGCCGTTAGAGTTGAAACTTTCTTTCTGACCTCCTCTGTCACCCAGATCCGGTATCATCCTGTTAATCTTGTTTGGACTGGTGTACTAAGTGTCTGATGGTCATTAAAGATTCTTCAGGGTCCAGCAGATTTCATTTGTATCTTAGAGGTGCTTATCATCTCGGCTTGCTCTGCTTTATTCCAGTTAATATGAAATCATCTGACAGAACTAATAGTAATTGTTTCTTAGCAGAACTTTAGTTAATTATTTAGACATACACCATGCTTTGGAAATGTTTTCCAGATTAATGAGTGTGTTTTCTATCCTAGCCATTCGCTATTCTCCTGTCTTAGTTATTGATAACTTTTGTTGTTTGATCAGTAATTATACAACAGTTTTTGTTATTTTGAAAATTTCCTCTTTAAAGAAAGTAGTTAAGATAGTTTTCTAGACTTCAAACGTTAAGGCCACAGAGAAGTGTCTTGTCACCCTTTCCTAGGGAGCTGAAAATTGTCCAGGAGGGGTTTACGATGCAGTTAAGATGAGTGCTGTGTTTTCAGTCAGATTCCTGTATACTTTTGTAACAATTAGCTACACAGTGAAGGTGATTGATTGGATTAACGTCAGATTTCCAGATAATCTGTGATGCTTACTCAGATCTTTATAAAGAAATCAGTAATCCTATAAGTAATAAGATATAAATACTTCTTTACTCTAAATTTTTTTTCCCCAAGAAATCTTCTGAATCTGGTTTCATGCAGTCTGGATGTTTGATTGAAGAGTCTGTTCTACGTTCCAAGCTCACAGAGGCTTCAAGTGGTAAGTGTGTAGTTTCTCTTTAGCACGTGTGCCGGTTCGCCCGTTGAAACTTAACTTGTTGAGTAGATGTTTATGGTTGGTGTACTTATATGCTAAAATTTGGGAAAACTAAAATAGTTCCCTACATTTAAAGAGCTCCCGGTCTAGTAGAAATGTTTCAGAATTCTTGTTAAGTCAGGGATGACATTTTCTTTGAACTGCTACCGGTAAGAATTAGTGAACTATTTCCAAGCTAATAGAGTTTATTGTAAAGAATAGGATCTCTGAACATATTAACAGGGGTATTTTGTTTGAGAAAACCCTACACATGACTTTTTTGGCTTTTAAGCGTATGGAAAGGGACCAGCATTTAAAACTTATTCAGCCTTTCCCCAAATCAGTATGCTTGTATTGATTGAAAGTCGTCAGCAAGGTACCAGGTTTACTTTCAACCCACCTGTGTCTTTAAAGTAAGACTCTTGTCGACATGTAGTGAGTGGGTCTTGCTTTCTTATCCATTCTGAGAATCTCTGCCTTTAAGTTGGAGTACTTGGCTCATTTACCTCTCAAGTCATTATTGATAAGGTTTGATTTAAATCTGCCGTTTTATCATAATGTTTTGTTTGTTCTTTCTGGTTTTTTATTCCTTTATTTACCTGTTTGTCTTTCTTGGGTTTATTTGATCTTTTTTTTTGGAAATCCATTTACCAGTTACCTTTTAAACTATATTTCATTGCGCCTTTTTTGAATGGTTGCTCTAGGGATGGTGATTTACATCCTTAACTTTTCACAGTCTTCTTAGCTTAATGTTGTACAACTTCATGTAAAAAGTAGGAACTTTACAAATTGTATTGATCTGTTTTCTATCCACCCACTCATGTCTTTTATGGTCCTTTACACTATAGATGTCATCTATATTACATTCATTTTAAACCCCACAAGGTGCTTTTTTGCTTTAAACAACCATGTGTATTTGGGGGAAATAGTCTTTTATAATTACCCAGATAGATACCATTTCTGGCGCTTTTCATTCCCTCCTGAAGATCTGAGTTTCCCTCTGATAGCATTTCCCTTCAATCTGAAAAAGAACTTTCTTTAGCATTTCTTGTAGTGCTGCTCTAACTTCTTAATTTTAGTCATGTGGTGGGTGGATGGGGCACAGAGCTGGGTTCTGAGTTTGTCATCTAGATGAAATAAGCATTTCTTACCAATTCTCTTGCTTCACTTTCATGGGACTTTGTCTTAGGAGTGACATATTCTTTGACAGTAGTTATAGAATGTGTTAAGTGTGGTTATTAGAAACTGTCATCATACCATGGGGCTGGCCTGGTGCCGTAGTGGTTAAGTTCATGCCCTCCACTTTGGCAGCCTGGGGTTTGCAAGTTCAGATCCCAGGTGCGGACCTACACACCTGTAATCAAGCCATGCTGTGGAGGCGTCCCGCATAGAAAATAGAGGAAGGTTGGCACAGATGTTAGCTCAGCAACAGTCTTCCTCACCAAGAAATAAAACAAAAGAAAACAAAACTGTCATACCAAACACCTCCCTTTACAATTTGTCTTAAGTGGGATCATCACAGCAAGAGCCAACATATCCCATTTTAACAGTTCACCAGACCCTAAGCAGAAATGTTGTGTAAGACCGGGAAAGGCAAATCCACCCTCGATGATGGGGCCTTGAGTTAAGGGAGTCTAGTGCTGATTTGGGTGTTTTAAGCTGGTTATTTGGTGGCACTCCAAGGTTATTATGTCTCAGACAGGGCACCTTTAGGAAGAGTGAAAAGATCTTATAAAGTCGGATAGAAAATACTTAGTTAAAGGAGAGCTTGGCGAGGAGAGCCTGTGTGATACCTCCATTACTTCCCGTGCCCTCTCCACCTCATCTGTCTTATCCATCTCGCCAGAAACCGAGCCCCAGGAATGTCTCTGCCTGCTGTGCTCCTGCCCCATGTATACCTGTGCTAAGTACTTTGTGTGTTGCTAGCCTTACCCAATTTTTCATCTCACATGGGCCTCGGCACTGCTCGACAGTCCCTTCCGTTCTTAATTGGTTCACTCTTTCGCATCAAGCTTCCAGCCCTCCTTCCCTTGCCTTTTTTTTTTTTAAAGGTACTTTTAATTTATTTCTTAGAAACAAATAATTCTTTAGTATATGTGTGTCCCATGCATTATTTTTCTTTTATATCGGTGTACATATGCATAAGCCAGTCATGCTCGTCTAGTGGTTAAGATTTGGTGCCCTTACCATCATGGTCCCAGTTCATTTCCCGCTAAGGGAAACACACCACTCGTCTGTGGGTTGTCATACTGTGGTGGCTGCGTGCTGCTGTGAAAGTGAAAGCTGTGCCACCAGGACTTCAAATACCAGCAGGGTTACCCATGGTGGACAGGTTTCAGTGGAGCTTCCAGACTAAGACAGATGAGGCCATCCACTTCTGAAAAAATTGGCCATGAAAAGCTTGTGAATAGCAGACAGAGCATTGTCTGATACCACCCTGGAAGATGACAGGATGGCAGTAAAAGACCGAGCAAAGTCCCATTCTGCTGTCCACATGGTCACTACGAGTTGAAATTCACTTGACGGCATCAACAACAACATTCATAAATAATTAGATAAAATTCAAATTTAACTAGGTCTCTTGCATTTTTATTTGCTAAATCTGGCCACCCTACCCATGGATGACTGAGATAAAGTTGCCTGGTGCCCCTTTGCAGTCCCTTGCTTCTTCAGTAAAGTTAAGAACCTTGCTTCTTACATCCCCAAGAAAACAAAAGATGTCAGAAGCCAATGTCCTGGTCCTCTGCCACCTACACTGCAAACTGTCCTGCATCTCTGCACAGCGTCCTCCTCCTCTCCTCCTGTTACACTGGTCTCAGTGCTCGTATCCAAAGCCAGCCTTTCTTTGTGGCCCCCAACCTTTTTGAGAACCCTCTGTCTGAGGTGTCCTTTTCTGAATTACTCATTTTTTCCATTAACATACAATGTGTCATAATATCTCCCATCTTAAACTTGTCTTTGTCCCAGGATTTCCTTCCAGCCAGAACTCAGTTTCTTTGCTTTCTTCTGTAGCAAAACTCCCTTTCAGAGCAGGCTGCACTCTGTCTCCTTGCCTCCCATTCTGTCTTGATCCTGCTCCAAACAGGCCTTTGTAGGCAGCAGTCCCCGCTGCCATCCCAGTAGTTACTCCCAGTATGTTCCTTTCCTCAAGGTCTCGGGAGCGTCACACACAGAGCGAACCGCGCCCTCCTGTGGGAAACAGCGTCTTCACTGCGCATCAGGACATCATTCTGTGTGGTTTCCTCTATTTCAAGGGCCATTTCTTCTTTGTTGTTTTGTTTGTTCCTCCTCTTCCAACCTGACCTTTAAACATTTGAATGCCCTGCTTCAGCGCTTGGACTTTTCTCTCTATACCACTCCCTAGTGATTGCAGGCATTCTCACATTGAATGCTATCTAGATGCTGTTGACTTCAAACTTTAAATACCTGTCCTCGGCCCCTTGCCTGAACTCTCAGCTTAAGTACCCAGCTGCCTTTCTTGATCTCCACTTGGATGTCTAATAAACAGCTCAAACTTCACATACTCAAACAGGGTTGATTATTTTCCCTTCCCCAGTCTGCTCATCTCTGTTTTCTTCATCTCGGTAAATGATACCTACTGCCATTCATCTATTGCTTCTGCCAAAAACCTTGGAGTTATCTTGACACCTCCCTTTTTCGAGTTAAACTTCCTATCCCATTAACAACTGCTGTTGGCCTTATCTTCAAAATGTATCCAATGTCTAACCACTTCTCACGTCCTAACACCGTCACTGTGGTCCAGGCTATCGTCTTCTCATGCCTGGATTGTTTTCTTTGTTCTCTTAAGTAATTTCCCTGCTTCCCCCCTCATCCCATCTCTTTCTTAGAGTCTTCCTCATAGTGGCCAGCATGCTTCTTTTCAAATGCAAGTCGCACTATGTCATTCCCCTTCTTAAAAACTTTCATTGGCTTTTCAGGATACTTAGAATCCATTCCTTACCCTTTCTACTAGGCCTTAGTTGACGTAGTCTTTAGTCTTCTCTCCGAGCTTATTTCTTAGCTCTCTTCTCCTTGCTCACTTGGTTTCAGGCACGCTGGCCTTGCCCTGCCTCTCATCTGCCAAGTACATTCCTATCTAGGTCTTTGCACTTGTGTTTAATGTTCTTCACGTGTGCACTGAGGCTCGCTTCCTCACCTTATTCAAATACCTGCTCAGGAAACTGTCCCTGGACACCCCAAAACAGCATCAGCCCTCCTACCTTATCGTGACCTGTCCCTTGTCTCTACATTATTTTCCTTAATGGCGTGTATTACTGCTTGTTGCTGGAGATAACGTTTCTTTAACGTTTTATTTTGATATGATTGTGGATACATGTGCACTTGTGAGAAATAATACAAAGAGATCCAGTGTGCCCTTCCTCCACTTCCCCCCAAGTGGTAACATCTTGTATAGCTATAATCCAGTGTCACTAGCAGGAAATTGACACTCATACAATCCACTGCCTTTCTTTCAGATTTCACCAGTTTTACATGCACTCATTTGTGTGTATATTTAGTTCCAGGTGATTTTATCGCATGTGTAGACTCACCTGACCACTCTGCAGTTGAGAGAGAGAACAGTGCCATCACGTGGATCCCTCATGCCACCCTTTTAACAGCCACTCCTCCCAGTTACTATATTTTATATTGTCTGTCCCCTGAAGGTGGGGCCTTTGTATGTTTTGTTCATCATTGTATCTCTAGCACCTAGAAAAGTGCCTGTCTCATCATAAGTGCCATATATATATATTTGTTAAATATTGATCATAAGGCAGTGCTCTCTTAAGAAAAAGAATTTGTTGGGGGAGGAGGGCTGCCTTGTTTGGGGCACATACAGTGTGTTTATGTTTTGATTTGATAATCTTTCTCCTCAGCATCCCATCCTCTCCCTCTCACCACCCTTGCATGCTGAAATGTCGCTTCCTCCAGCAATAGAATAAGTCACTATTCATTGCCTGGCTCAGGTCAGTTTTGTGGTGTGAGTCCTAGGTGTCACGAGTAGAGGCAGGCTAGCAGTGAATAGCTGATGCTGGACACCTCCTCAGATGTCCAAGGGAGCCAGAACGCCTTACTTCCTTTATCCTCAGGAGTTAGATTTGAATTCACAGCTGTGACCAGTGCCACGTCGCTGTCTTTTTGTGTTTTCAGTGAAATCCCAGATGTTACTCCCTAAGCAGGATATGTTAGACTTGAATTTCTTGATAGTGTTTTTCCCTTTGCAGATACATAACATTTTTGGTGTAGAACAAACTGGTTCAGATGTCTCCCACCTCTCATGTTAACCTGTTCATTTTGAAGGAATCCAGGTTGCTGACTGTGTGGAGGACAGTGGATCGAGCGAGGCTGTTTCACTTGACACCTTTACTGATACAGCTCCTGACGTCAGGGCTCCGGTCCCCACACTGTGCAAGAGGGACAGTCCATCCTCTGAGACCATCGTCCTTCGTTCTGTGCTAAAGAAACCCTCTGTTAAGCTGTGTCTAGAAAGCCTGCAAGTGAGTATAGAGCTACATTTCCTAAAGCAAAGTGATTAAAAATTCATTTTGCTTTAAAGCAATACCTTTGAAATGTTGTCTCATACTGATTTAAAAGGAAATGTCCTACCCTAATTTTTTCGCCTCCTTTTCTCACTTATAGCACTGTGCAAAGTTTTCTTTTTGTTTTTTCTTAAACTCAGTATGGAATATAGTATGTAGAATTAATATAAGTAGACTGTCTTTTATGAAAGTTTCATGATTATTAATGAGTGAGTGGTCACTGTTCCCAACCAGAACACTTGGTCTTGGAGATCCGCCTGCACAGGCGGGCTTCTTTCTCCAAGCTCAGCCAGCCTGAGAAAGGAGGTCGAAGGAACCAGCTGGCGTTTGTCGGGTGCTCCTGTGCACGGTGCTGGCATCCGTCATGTACTTGCAGCAAGAGTGTTCCAAGAGAGACGTTAGCCCCATTTTATAGAAACTTAGGCTTGAGGGCATTAAATGAACCCAGATGAATCTGATATTAAAATCCGTGATGGGCTGTAAGCACATGAGAGGCTGCGAGGGTGGGCTCTGGAGTCAGAGGGCCAGATTTCAGATCCTGACTCTGACGTTTAAGAGCTGGGCAAGTTAATTAACGTTTTTTGTACCTTGGTTTCCTTATCTATTAGTAACTACCTTATAGGGTAATTTGAGCAGTAAGTGGGATAATAATGTGAAATTAGCACCAGTGCCTGCCAAGTGAAAAGTATAATTTTTGTTTTTTCAATCCATAGGCATTTTAGCATATAATTTGCCTACAAATCTGTTTCTAAGGCCAGAATGAACTAGGCGACCTTCTGTCTACATGAATGTATGGTCAATTACTATTTTAAATGTTTTAACAATTTTTCTGGTTAAAGAGCTGATTTGATCTCTGTACAGCACTGTTCATTCATATCTTCTGTTTGTTATATCTTCTCCTCAAAGAGACTTAGCATCTTGGTGATCCACATCATTCTCATTGATTAGCAGTTTTATAATAGCAAACACCGAGTCCTGCCACTAAAATCCTATGAAGGCTGTTATGCCCGATGATCTTTTTACTAAGCTGCCCAAAGTTTGTAGGTATATACAGTTTGAGTTTGCTCACTTTCCTGGTTGTTTTAGTTAAAGATAAATCTAAAAGTTAACATGCTTTAATATGTTTTATAAGTTCATTTATTTCACAAATAATTGATATAGGAGATAGTTGATTAAGGAGGTTTGTTAGGAGCAGGACTGTTTCTTAGAGAGGGTACTGCTCTTGGAATCTGGTATTGGAGAAAGTGAGTAGCTGTGGAGAGCGAGGGCTGGTCGGGGTGAGGATGAGACTGGACAAGCAGATGAGGATTGGGAGGTGACACCCATCCAGCCCACAGCCCAGCTCTGCTCCACTGGCCCCTTGCTAGGCCTGCCCTGCCTTGTTCTCCAGGATTCACACTGTCCCATCACCACCACTTGCCTGCTCTGTGATCTTCCTTGGAGAAGCTTAGAGGGATAAATAACAATATTTCCTTGTTATTAACTGAAGAATATGGTAAACAGGAGATTTGTACACTTATAAAAGGTGTGGTTCCCATGTTTGAAAGACAAAACACCCTGGTATGCCATTTGCCTGATCGGTTTATTCTTGTTTTAGCGCAGTTCTTACAGCTCAGACAATTTATGTAGTCTGCCTTATCAGACACTGCCTATAGTACACTATAGTTCCAGCCCCTCACGTTTTCCTTAATTTTGTTTGTCAGATCAAAAATGAGGGAGTGAATTTAGCCCACATTGTGGATTTCTGATCTTTGATTTTGGCCTAAGATATTATTTATTGAAGTAATATCCAGGGAATCCAGTTTTTCTTTGTGGCTAATGTCATGTTTAAGCTAGAACACTTATGAAAGTAAAAGTAATCTGCAATACTATAGTATCTACCATTGACAGAAAAAAAGTTAAAAGTTGCCATTCTTAATGACTGTGTGTGTGTATTGATTTGTGTGAAATTATTCCTTGATGTTTGCTTTGTTTAGGAACACTGTGACAACCTTTCTGACGATGGGACTCATCCAAGTTTCACCTCAAATCTTGCAAACTGTTGCAAAGAACGAAAAGCAGGTAAGAAGTTCATATTTATTTTGAAGCTTGAGGATATCATTTTCCTGTTAAAACAACCTGAAATGGTATGTGGCGTTTTCAGTGATCTGCTAATGCCTTGATGCTTCTGAAGTTGCATGGGAATGAAGAACAGTTGGTGGAGGGGGGGTGGAATCTCTTTGGAGAGTCTGAGTTGGTCTGTCCATTTCATCTATCCATTTTTGCCTAACAGTGAGACTTGGAAAGGAAACTGATATTCCAATTTTGTTGTCTCCTAAGATTCTCATGCAAAATTTACTTTAAAATCTATTACTATATTTTAATTAGAAATATTGCTTATCTTTTCCATTTTGAAGTTTTTTCTCCACGCTCTGTTTTATGTTATACAAATAATAGCTGAATCTAATCAAGTTAAAAGATTCTAGGCTATGCCTTTTAGATAAGAAATAAAGCTTAATTTTTAAATGTATTTCCATTTATTATCTATAGAAAGTCAAGAAAGTTGTAAAGTACCGACCTTTCTAAATACAAGGAAGAGGAAGAGAGTAACTTTTGGAGAGGACCTAAGCCCTGAAGTGTTTGATGAATCTTTGCCAGCAAATACTCCATTGCGTAAAGGAGGAACACCTGTTCGTAAAAAGGATTTGAGTGATGTCAGTCCACTGCTACTCGAGCAGTCACCAGTTCCTGAGCGGTTATTGCAACCAAATTTTGATGACAAGGGGGAGAATGTTGTAAGTGTGAAAATGTGGAACAAACTTGTTTATGTTTTCATCAGACCTCACTTTTTTTTTTTTTTTTTTTTTGGCTGAGGAAGATTTGCCCTGAGCTAACATCTGTTGCTGATCTTCCTCTTTTTGTATGTGAACTGCCGTGACAGCATGGCCCCTGACAGACAGGTGATATAGGTCTGCACCTGGGAACCAAACCTGGGCTGCTGAAGTGAAGCCTGCCAAACTGAACCACTAAGCCATCAGAGCTGGCCCCAGACCTGACCTTTTTTGCATTAGCAATAATTATGCTTTGAAATCCTGAAAGGGACTCAAAGATATGTCATGGTATAAATTAATGCATTTTTCTAGGTAGATTAGTACCGGTTTCTCCTGTGAAAACAGTACTTCCATAACTCCTTCTACATAGCATATTTCGTCGAACCTAAATACTATTGATTGTAAGAAGTGCCATTATTTTATGTAGCGCTAAGAAAAAATCCTGACAGTTAAATTATATATACCATGAATTGTATGATGTACTTAGATTTCAGAGGTGTTAAAATGTGAAAGGGCAACAGTCTTAGAATTGACATACTATAAATATAGGCTGTTTTTTCCCCTAAGATGAATTTCTGTAGGTCAATTACTGGATTAAAGAATATGAATGTTTTTGAACTTTTTGATACATATTGCTAAAATTATCATCCAGAAAGTGAGTACCAATTTGGACTGACAGCAATATAAATGGTTTTATACCTTTGTAAGCCCTGGGTGATACCTTAATAGGAGGAAAAGCTGGCTTGAAAATTTTTAGTTTATTAGTGTGATTTGAACATATTTCACATGTTTATAGGCCATTTGAATCTTTTCTCTTGAGAATTGCCTATTAATCTTCCTTACTCATTTTAAATTGGGACCATCATTCATTCTCTCTCTTGCTGTTATAGTTCGAAATAAGAATATTCTGTTTTCAGCCAAGATGGAATAAGAGGGACTTAATTTACACTCCCCTGAGAAACAACTCAAAAACCAGAGATAATATATAAAACAGTGGTTCTTACACGTAGAACATGAGGAAGTATGGGACAGTAATCCCTGAGAGAGAAGTAACAAATGAGGCGAGCCTTCTGACAGCCCCCACTTACTGCCTGGGATGAATTTCCAGCCCACAGCACAGGGAAGGGCTCCCTTGGTGGAGCTTGGCAGTCTCGAGAGTTGAGAAGATGGAGTTGGGGTCTGGGAAAGCCAGCGAGGCTGGAGTTCATGGTGCAAAGTACTAGAGAGGAGAGAGTGGCACAGAGAGACAGCTTTGGAGATCTGCAAAGGCATCCACTGGAGTCTTTGGCAGAGTACTGGTCAACACATGCTAGCGAGGAGACTGCCTGACATCAGGGAAAGGGTGACCTGAATGGAGCAGAGGCAGCCATCCATAGAGCTCACACAGGGGTAGGAATAGTGCTCCCACTAACCTGAGCAGGAAAACCTTGTAGTTCAGAGGTATCAGATACTTGGGAGAGTGTTGCCTCGTTAGTTGAGCAAAATTAGATGAAAACCCTAACAAAGCTGAAAAAGCAAGCCTGAAATGGATCCAGCTTGCATCCAGGTAATTTAACTGCATTGCCTAATAAAGCTGAAGAATAACAAAACCATCCTGCACCAAGCCATCTTAAATTCAAAATGTCTAGCATTCAATTATAAATTAGTTGATATATGGGAAAAGATGCCCCATAGTGAGGAGAAAAATTATTCAACAGAAATAAACCCATAAGTGACACATATGGTAGAATCTGTAGACAAACACATTGAAAGTTATTTGAACTATATTCCATATGTTAAAGGAGGTGGAAGAAAGATTTAGCTTGTAAAGAACATGAAAGATAGACTCAAGTCAAACTCTGTACATGAAAATTACAATCTCTGGGAAGGAAAATACGTTGAATGAGATTAATAGCATATTAGAGACTGCAAATGAAAAGATTAGCAAACTTGAAGATGTAGCATTCTCAATGAAATGGAGAGAAAAAAAGACTGAACAAGAATGAGCAGACAGTTGGTGAGCCAGGACGACTGCAGATGGCATAATATGCGTGTAATTAGAGTCCCCAAAGAAACGGAAAGATCAGAAGGAATAGAAAAAGTATTTGAAGAATAATGGCTGAAAATTTTCCCAATTTGATAAAGTTATAAGCCCACTGATCCTAAAGTGCAACAAATTCCCAGGGCAAGAAATAAGAATTATACGCAAAGACACATCATTGCTTAAAATCAATGATAAATGGCCTAAAAGGAGCCATAGAAAAGACACATGACATAAAGAAGAAATAGAATACAGTGCAGCAACATCTTTTAAAGATGTACTTAAGTACTTAGAGGAAAAACCAAAAGTGCCTGTCAATCTAGAGTTCTATATCCTGTGAAACTATCAAAACAAAGGTGAAATAAAGGCTTCTTCAGACATATGAAAGCTGAAAGAATTGATTACCATAGCAAGTTAGCATTAGAAGAAATGTTAAGGAATCCTTTAGTCAAAAGGAAGATGGTTCCAGATGGAAATCTGCATCTACACAAAGGAATGAAAAGCACTGTAAACACTAAATATGTGGGCAAATATAACAGACTTTTTTTTCTTATTATTAATCTCTGTAAAAGATAACTGTTCAAAGCAAGAGTAACAACAATGTATTGTTTGGTTTATAACCTCTGTAAGTAAAGTATACAACAAAAATGACGTGGGTAAAGGCTGGGAGGGCTTCTTGGGCTCCACACAGGGGTGTCAGTTAAAGATGTGCACGTGAAGCCTAAACCACCATAACACGACAACAGAGACGTGTGGGACACGGCTAACTCAGTGCTCAGAGGGAAATGTTTTATGATTAAGCCTTGTATTTCAAAATAAGAAACATCTCAAGTTAATGATCTCAACTTCTTACTTTAAGAAACTAGAAAAAGAAAAGAAGTTAAAGCCAAAGTAAGCAGAAGAAAGGAAGGAATAAAGATAAATGCAGAAATCAATGAAATGGGAAACGGAAAAACGATACAGAAACATCATTGAAATCAAAAGATTGTGCTTTACGAAATCAATATTTGTAAACTTCTTCCTGGACGGTGTCAAGATGGTGGTGTAGGCGGATTCTGAACTCACCTCCTCCCACAGACACGACAAATTTACAGCTTCTCTTGGGACAGTTACCCCTGAGACAGAACTGAAAACTGCATAAAAAGAACCCCTGCAACAAGGGACAGTCCTGACTGAGGTGGAAGACACAGAAATTCCCTTCTGGAGAGGGGAAAAAAACACCTTTGCGAGCCACAGAGCTTCACAGTCGTCCAGGAGCAATCCTAAGGTATGCAGCCTTCCCTGGAGGAGTCGGGGATCTGAGTAGGAGAGCTTTACCACTCTAAGCAGCTTTTGGACTCAGCACAACCGAGACGAGTGTCATAATATCTGGCTTTGCTGGCTATTAACAACGACTGGAAATACCTCCAGAAATACTATCAGATGTAAGAGAAAGAAAAGCCTGCTCTTAAAGGGCCCAAACACAAATTCACCTGTTTCAGAAAGCAATCTTAAATCACCAGTAAGAAAAGTGCACAGTCCTTTGGTGAAAAGAGACTCGTCTGGTAGGCTCATGGTGCATCTTGGTGAAAGGCGAGACCTCTCCAGGGACTGAGACATTGACGGCAGCCATTATTGTGACCTAGTACACGTATGCTCACACAGATGATGGCAGACGCCATTGGAGGTTCTTCCCCTGGCCTGTTATCCCAGAGGTCAGCCACACCTACTAGAACACTCATTTAATCCAGCTCAGCCAGGGCAGGCAGCCTGCCCTAGGGACTGGCCCCACCCAACAGCAAGCCTTCAGGTGACTTGTGGACCTGCATAGGCTGGGTGCCTGGAACCTCTGCAGCCAGGTGATTGGGTCCACCTCTGTGGGGCAAGGCCTGCAATGACAGAGTGTTTGGGGCCTCTACAGTGGGGCAGCTGGGTCCTCTTCAGTGGGTCTGGGCACGTGCCTGGGGCAGGACTGTGTTGATGGGTATGTGACCCTGTGGGTGGTGGGGCTTGTCAGCTGCAGCAGACTTGTGCTTCCCAAACAGCCACATAAGAGACCAGCTCCACCTTCCAAAACCTGAATCAATGGGGTGCTTCCATGCCTGGGACCAGCCCCACCCAACTACAATCCTGAGAGAGCTGACAACAGCCTTGCAGGCTGGAGGCCTACGACAATCTACCTGACAAAGAGTTCAAACAAAAAGTCATAAGAGTGCTCACTGATCTTGGGAGAAGAATGCATGAACTCAGTGAGAACTTCAACAAAGCACTGGAAAGTATAAAAAAGAAGCAATCAGAGATGAAGAATACAATCCTGGAAATGAAGAGTTCACTAGAGGGACTCAGTAGCAGAGCAGATGATACAGAACAACAGATCAGCAAGCTGGACGAAATACTAGAGGAAATCACCCACAGTGAACAGAGAAGAGTAAACTTCTCATCAGACTATTCAGGAAAAAAGGAGAGAATACTCAAATTAAAAATATGAGGAATGAGAGAAGTGACCTAACTATGTATTCTAATGGATATTAAAATGATAATAAAGGAATATTATGAAAAACTTTATAGCAATAAATCCAACAACTTGGATAAACTAGGCCCAGTTCCTGAAAGACACAAACTATCAAATCTCACTCACGAAGAAATAGATTACTTTGTTAGCCCCATTATCAACTAAAGAACTTTAGGTTGTAGTTAAAACTTCCCACAAAGAAAACTGCATTGTACTAACGAATTCTACCAAATAGTTAAGGAAGGTGGAGTACTGATTCTGCATAGACTCTTCAAATCAAGTTGAGGAGGTAGGACTGCTTCTCAATTCATTCATGTCAGCTGTAACTTGATAGCATAACCAGACAGACATAAGAAAACTACAGTCCAGTATCCTCCTTAACATAATAATGTGTAAAAAGACAATATGTATTGACCAAGTGAGATTTGCCCAGAGGTGCAAAGTTGGTTTAATATTTGAAAAACAGTCTCTGTAATTTGCCATGTTAACAGACTTAAAAAACCATATTGTCGTCTCAGTAGATGCAGAAAAAGCATTTGACAAAATCCAGGATTCATTTCTGATAAAAACTGAGCAAACTGGTGATAAAAGAGAATCTCTGACAAATTTTATCTGTGAAAAACCGACAACTACCATCATGTTGGCTATTACATGGGAAAGAAAAGATCTGACATCTGTGTTTATATTGCAATTTTACCCTGAAGTTCCCTTGAATAATATTGTAATGTTAGGTTGTGTTTATTAATGAATTGTCTTATTTACTTTATAGGTGTTAGGACATGGCATTTTAAATAAACCAAAAAGTAACTTCTCAGTGGGTCTTTACGGCTACTTTCCCTTAAAGTTTTATATTTATTTTAGTAGATTGCAGTTAGTAGGCATGGTTTCATTATAGATGATTGGTAAATATTATGAAATGTATTTTTATATTCAGTATCTTTGACTTTTTTCCTTCATCTTTTATTGGTTTCCCATTTTTATACTTATTACAATTCTGCCTACAAAAATGAATCCTTATTTTCTTTTGGGCACATTATTTCTATGTTCACTGGATTTAAGGGTGCCTAATTTCTACTTGTCTTTGTTTAGGAAAACATAGAACCTCTTCCGGTGTCATTTGCAGTTCTGAGTCCTCTTAAGTCTTCCATCTCTGAGACTCTTTCAGGTAGTAACTTTGGTTTATCCCATAATCATAAATGTCATTTTCAGTATGTCTAATTATGAAACTTAATGTCCTTAATTTCTTTTTAAAATTTTATTTTTATTATAACCATATATACTTGGTTTTAAAAAACCAAATAGTATAGAAGAGCTTATAAGAAGTGTCTTATCCCTCCCTTTCCATTCCAAGTCTCACTCTTATCATCACCCACATGTAACGTCCTTAGATGGGGAGCCCCATTTTTTAAGTGACTGCAGCAATGGGGTTGCCCTCTCAGCTCTTAAGTATCAACAGTAAGCTCCTTGTCACAGTGTGCACAGTTGAAGCGATAATGGGTCATTCTTAAATATCAAAAATTATTTATCCACATTAACATGGCATCTTGGGCACCTGTACTTTCCAATGTTTCTGGCTTTTTTATGATCATGACAAGGCAACAAAGATCTCTCTGCAATTTCCTAACAAACTAGGCCTCGGCTGGTGAATGTCCTGGGAAAAGCACTTAGGATGTTTCTCACCTGGTCAGAATCCTTTCATAGCTTCTTTTTGGCTGTAGGGCACAAACCAAGCTTATTAGCACTGAATCCAAGACATAGTGTTAAGTTAAAGCTAAAATTTGAAGCATAGTGTATCTCATTCCAAAGCCTATGCTCTGTAACACATTATTCTGCCTTTTATTTATACCATTAAAAGTGATCAAATTAAAATTTTCCTGAACTGTGTAAAATTAAACTATTTTCACGATCGTCTTAATGTCCTTTATTGCAGTTTCATTGTACGAAGTGTAGCATGGAATAAATGGACATAGTGAAATATGGGTATTTATTGTAATGTGATTTAATCTGTTATCTTAGTAGGGTAATATGTTTTGCAATCAATTAGCAGACATTCGGTCTTGTCCAAAATGTCCATAAGACATTTGGTTCATGCCAAAACATCATTGAAATTTGATCTTGTCCAAAATGTTGGTCATTATGTTTGATCCATACCAAATGGTTTTGGATCAAAACCATTAATTGCCTCTTGGTAATTAATTATTTATGTTTAGATAGGAAATGATACTAACAGCAAAGATGGATATCCAAAAGAGTATCTGGTATGTCTGAAAGATGGTGGATCTTACAACTTTTTGTTAGCTATCCTAATTTTGCTTGTGTCTTCGTCATCAGGCCCTGATACCTTTAGCTCTTCAAATAACCACGAGAAAACATCCTCCTGTAAAGTTGGCAGAACAACACGGACCTCTAACAGAAGAAGCGTAAGTGTTCTTATCTGGCACAGTGTATTTGTTTTTAAATCTTGGTAATAGATTTTTTATGTTTTCTTGATCAAATGACTTATGGGTAAAATCTTGGTTTCGTCAGTGTCATTCAGAGTTAATACATTATCCTACGTAGTATGTAACCCAGGGTAATGATGTTTTCCGGATTTGGTTGAATTAATTCTCTTAGAAGAAAAATCCAATAAAACAAGATGCTTTCAGAGTTTCTGTTAATGTGGAGAGTAATATTTTTGAAAAGTTGGTTTGAGATCTATGTGGTTTTATGAATTTTATTGAGGTGCAAAGAGGAGAACAGTGGCATGTAATTAGCAGAACCAGAAAATGGCATAAATATAACCTTTTTTAAAACTATGTTTTTGTTTTGTTTTTTAACACCAGGTTTCAGGTGTTTTTGGTATAAACATGACTCCCGTTGAATGCATGTCTTGTTCTTTTATTAAATTTGACAAAATTGGATTTTCATCTATAGCATCATAATGCATAAACATACAGTATACTGTTATAGGGATTTTAGCAGATATTGTTGGATGATAAACCCAGAATTCAAACTTAGATGATCTAACAGTTCATGATGTTTTTTCCCCACAACCCAACAGCAGTTAGGGGCTAAATTATAGATGGTCAATAAATATTTGATGAATGAATAAATCAACTAATTCTTAAGTTGTTTTTTATTTCTTCCTTAAAATAATGGGGCAGAGTGCATATGCTTCTAGGTCTATGTTTGATAGATCAGAAATTAGCAATTACTGTTTCCCCCATTTGCGTTTAAGTTGGTTAAAATTCTTTTAATGGAATTTTCAGTTTAAGAGGAAATGTGATATAAAAAGGTAGGAGCAGCTTGGGAAGGAAATATATATATAATGTATATTAAAATGTAACTACTTGTGTTTTATGGATCCCTACTTTAAATTTCTTTATAGCAATTGCTTAGTTTTGCAGAAGAGAGTGTTGGCAGCTTATTTCATACAGAAGCTCAGCCTTGTAAAGAAAAGAAAATTAGTAGGAGGAAGTCACAAGGAAGCAAGTGCACAGACAGAGCACTTCCTAAAAAGAACCAGGTGAGTGTGTGTCTAAAGATATAATGAAGAGTAGAAGTGGTGTGTTTCTTTGTTGTATGGTTAGGAAAACATGGAAACAAAGTTTTTTCTAGTTAGCATCAGACCAAGAGTATTAAAATCATCCTGCCATGGAATAGAAAGGGCCATAAGAGATTATGTGCTCAACTCTCAATTACCTGAGGGCCAATTTTGCATCTTCGTTATTATGTTATGTACATCCAGCACAGTAGATTGTTGGCACTCAAATGTTAAATTTATTCTTATCTTTGAATCTAATGTAACCTCACTTTATTTGGGGAATTCCCTAATTTCTTGGACAGGGATGAGTGCATCATCTGCCACCTGTTTGACTTTGCTTCTGCCGGTGGCTGGATCACTTCCCTCTTTTTAAGGAAGAGTTTAGAAACTAGTTCTCAGTCTTCCGAACACTCCAAGGCCCATGCCAGCTCAGATGACATCACTGTCTGTTTATGGATTGCCCATCTTGCACCTTAACCCAGTTCCTGGTCCACACTACTTCAATAATCTGGACGGACCTTCCTCTGCCATACACTATAGCTTGTTAGTACCTAAGACCCTCCCACTTTTCATAACGTACGTTTCTGTGTCAACTCTGACCCCAGCCTCCTCTCTGTCAGCGTACTCACTCCCTTACTCAGGTACCTCTTCTAGTTCTGTTAATCTTCTGGCCCCTCTCGTTACTCGAAAGCTTTCAACTATCCCTTAATTTCCTCTTTCCTTGTTCATTCTGGACCACGTGAGCTGTTTTGAACAGCTCTTGTCAGTAATCTCAGTTCTTCATCCCTTTCATTCCACTTCAACTCTGGATCAATCTAACCATTATCTCTGTCCCGTGTAACGTTGCTACTGGAGAGACTTATACAGGGGCTACTACAAATTCATGTTTCACATGTTATCTGAAGTCTGGTCTCATTCTCCACCACTTCACCACTTCACTTTATTTCTCCCAGGTATTTAGAATCTTAGTGACTGAAATCCAGTGCATCCTTTGAGGTCTTGTTCTTACCATCTCAGCAGCACTGGATATAACTGAGAACACTCCTTTACAGTCTCTATTCAAGGTTCATTTTCTTCTGCCCTTTCTTAGATGTTTGTATTACCTACAGTTCTACTCTTTGCGCTTGTGGATTGTTTATTTTCTGGATGACTTTATATGTGGCGTGGTTGATGACTCCCAAATCTTCCTGGTCTATAAATATATGCTCAGCTGCCTATTAGACATCTTTTCCTAAAACCATCCTACATGTACCTCAAAAATCAACATTTCCAAAACTGTACTCATCCGTTTCACCCCAACACACACTCCCCCAAAACAGTAAACTTCTCTCCTGCTCCATGAAACAGAAACCGTTGCCTCTTGGTTTAACAATGGCACAAACATCCCCAAGTCAGCAAAGCCAGAGGAAACGAAGTTTTCCTGGTTTAGCACCTTTTTTAGGTCACTTACTCCTTCGAAAGATCCTTTTAATGAAAAAAATACACATAAATTTAAAAATATTCGTACAATATATATTATTACATTAGAAATTGGTTTTCTTTGTATATATTCTTTACAAAACACTGTTAGAGAAATGTACACCTATTTCTTTATATAAAATCAATAGCCAGAAAGTTCAAGAAAGGTTGAGTGTTACGTTTTGCTCTAACCTTTTACCAGGACCCCACTGAATCAAAATAATAGAGGTACTAGAAGGAATAGGCTTAGAATAGCAATGAGAAGAGGAAGGAAGTGAGGAGGGTTATTAAGCAACAGATGACAGTCTTCAATGAATTTCTGAAAGACAAAGCAGATGGGAGCATGTCGACAGATAAAAGATGTGGAAAGATTTACAGCCCAGAATGTGCTAGGAGGGAGCGGGAGAGGCGCTGGGAGCCAGCCTGCTTGTGGGAGTCTCAGGAGACTCTGGGTCCAGTATGGGCAGGTACAAGGGATGGTGAGAGTGAGCAGTGGTAGTGAAAAGCAGAGAGATTACTTGAAGTCCTATATATGACACAATTTGTACCAGTTAGCACCCCCCACCCCCCAGCTCAGAACAGATGTTGCCATCTAGGTTAAAGCCCTTATTCTGACATTTGGAAAGTCCCCCAGTCTTGACTCTTAGCTCTTGCTCTAAAGCGCAGCCTGCAGTCAGCACTCCCCATTCTGCCCTGCCCCACACAGAGCTCCTAGTAGAATTTCCATGGAGGAAAGAGGCTGAGCTGGAAAGCAGAGGAAACCCATACCAGTTTATCCAATCTTTTCTTAAATAAGAATCAGATAGCTGAGTAGAAACAAGAGCGTGAAAGATTAATATTAATAAGTTGAAAAAGAGAGAAAAGTTATTCAGGGAATGAAAGGAACCTTTACAAAAATATATATATACTCTGATATACTCAGATTTAAGAAAATATTGCTACATAAAACTAAGAAGGAGATGCTATGAAAAAGGAGCAGAGAAAAAATACTTGCAAAAAATGTAAAATCTGGTAGTTGGACTAGAGAATAAAATTAAGGAAAGTCCCCCAGATGGTGGAGCAAAAGAGAGACAGACTATACTAAGAGACGTGGAAGACCAGTCTAGGAGACTTCAGAGGAATCTCAGAATAAGAAAATAGAGTGGAAAGAAATTATCAAAATAAAAGAAGAGGATTTCCGAGAACTGAAGAAAGGAGTCTTTAAGTTAAAAGGGCCTCCTGAGTGTCTGGTACAGCGAAGACAGGCCGGGACTTGGACACATCAGTGTGACAGTGAACAACTAGGGTAATGAGAAGAGTAGACTTTTCCTTCCAGAAAACAAGAATCAGAGTGCTGTCAAGTTTAACAGCAGTCTATATGCTGAAAGATAATTCAACAGGACGTTTGAAGCTTTGAGGAGACTTAATTTCAGCCCAATATTCTACACCCAGCCAAACTGAATTAAATGTGAAAGATAAAATAAAGACATCAGACGCTCAAGGACTCTGAAAGTTTTCCCTTGCATATTACTGGAGGAGATACTCCAGCAAAATGAGGAAGTGAGCTTGAGAATTCAGGACCTGGTGGACCTCATGATACGGGAGGGCAGTCCAGGGGAAATCTCTGGTCGTCATGTTCAGGCAGCCTCGAAGAGCAGCCGGTCCAAACTTGAGGGAGAGGGAAGGATGCTCCAGGGAGAAGGTCTCTGGAGGGAAAAGCACAAAGACCTGTGACTGAGAAAATGGAAGGTGTGCCATGTAAGAAGGAAAAGAAAGGTAATTATATACCATTTCAAATAAAAGTCTGTAGGCAGAAGTTCTGGAGCAAATATGAAGCCAACTTTAGTGTGATTTCAAGCAATAATGGAGTGTAAGGAAAAGTATATTTTATAGTGCTAAGAATCATCTACAGGGGGCGCCCAAGGAAAGGAAAGAAGATGAGCTCTGTCCTTGGCAGAGCAGGGAAAAATGTTTACACAGTCATAACCAGGTGAATGCTGTGTATTTTCAAACAAGGGCAAAGCTTCAGCAACTTGGTTGTTGTGCAAGACGATCTAAACGTGGCTAACAGCAGCAGGTGAAACATGGGTAGGAAAGGTGGAGGTGAGGTGTTAGCACTGACAGTATAGTGGTGGAGAGTGCAGCTCTAGAGCCAGACAACCTGGGTTTGAGATCCTGGCTTGACAACTTCCTGGCAGTGAAGTGGTGGGCAGATTCTTGACTCCTCTATTTGTTTCAAAATGGAGGTAGTAATGGTATTTATTTTATAAGCTTGTAGTGAATATTAAATGAGTTAATACGTGTAAAATGCTTAGAACAATGCCTGGCCATAGTAAGCACAGTGGCTGTTATTATAACTATCATCTTACAAATAAGGGGTTCAAGATATATTTTAAAAGTTAGTGAAAAGAAGTGCAAATGTAAATTCAAAGGTAACCAATAGAAGAACCAAAACTAACGTCGGGAGGAGGAAGGTTTAGTTGAAGTGAGCAATAGGCTCCTCTTTCTTGGCAGGAGTTAGTAGAGATCTTCACTGTATTGGATACTTGAAATTTGCTAAGAGAGTAGATCTTAATTGTTCCCACCACAAGCACAGAACGATAACTGATAACTATATGAGGTGATGGATGTGTTTATTAACTTGATTGTGATAATCATTTCACAATGTATATATGTATATTAAATCATTGTGTTGTACACCTTTAAAAAATCACATTGTACAACCTAAATTTTTACAGTTTTTATTTGTCAATCATACCTCATTAAAGCTGGAAAAAATTTGAAAATAAATAAAATTGCTAACCTGGAGTAGCATTAGAATTCATAAGTGAATTCCTTTATATCCTAGAAATAGAGAAATTTTAGGACTCACAAACCAGAAATAGTGAAGTCAAAGATCGGTAAATTTCACTCTATTTGACCCACACAATGTGGAGCATGCATGGGGAAAAAACTCCATAGAATATTTAAAAGACAAAGGACAAACTTGGAAGAGTATTTGCAGTTCATATCAAACCCAAAGGATTAATATCACTAATATTTCAAGAGCTTCTAAATTGAGTAAAAAATGAACAACTATAGAAATATCTCCGAGGGGCTGGCCCCGTGGCCGAGTGGTTAAGTTTGCACGCTCCGCTGCAGGCGGCCCAGTGTTTCGTTGGTTCGAGTCCTGGGCGCGGACATGGCACTGCTCATCAGACCACGCTGAGGCAGCGTCCTACATGCCACAAGTAGAAGGACCCACAACGAAGAATATACAACTATGTACCGGGGGGCTTTGGGGAGAAAAAGGAAAAAAATAAAATCTTTAAAGAAAAAAAAAGAAATATCTTCGAGATAGTTTTAAAAGTTCACAAAATTGAGATGAAAATGGCCCTTAAATATATGAAAAAATGTTCAGACTTGCTCATCATCATGAGAGAACTGCAGCTCTGGCATGCATCGGGATACCATTTCTTACCATTTTAGATGAGCAAAAATCCAGAGGGTGACAGCATGCTCTGTTGGTGAGGCTGGAGGGTAAACAGGCGTGCTCATACATTTCC